GGCGGCCATATTTGATCCCCACCGCGGCGTACTGCTCGTGGCGCCGCGAAGAGAGAGAGGAGGCTCCATTAGTTCTAAACACCTTGGTATTAGGTTATACATGTATATTTAATACCTTTGTGCATGCATAATTATTATAATATGTGTGTGTGTGTGTTATGTGTGCGCTTGTGTGTCTGAGAGAGAGAAAGAGAGAGGGAGAGAGGGAGAGAGGGGGAGAGGGAGAGACAGAGAGAGACACAGAGAGAGAGAGAGAGAGAGAGAGAGAGAGAGAGAGAGAGAGAGATCAGATAGATAGATAGATAGAGAGAGAGAGAGAGAGAGAGAGAGAGAGAGAGAGAGAGAGAGAGAGAGAGAGAGAGAGAGAGAGAGAGAGAGAGAATATTTGTGTGTTATGTGTGCGCTTGTGTCTGAGAGAGAGAGGGAGAGAGAGGAGAGGGAGAGAGAGAGGGAGAGAGAGAGAGAGCGAGAGAGAGAGAGAAAGAGAGAGAGAGAGAGAGAGAGAGAACGTGAGAATGTATATGTATTAGAGCTTCATCATGTAGTTCGATAAAGTAGTCAGTCAGAATTGTTATAAGTTCTGAATGGGATCAAGATTTTGATCGTGGAGTCTGGAGATCTTGTGGCTGATTTTGTTAGCAGAGACAGATCTTTTATAGTTTGAATTTGGCAGATCAGCTTGGAAAAATCTGGGGGTACAAAGCAATTCCTGGTTCCTGTGTTTTTCCTGCCCCTTGGATAGGCCTAATAAAGGATCATCAACAAACATGAGAAAACTCAACATATCTAGAAACGCCCTTGAAAGTATACCCGCAAGTTAACGGTTCTTTATACTGTTCCATCCTCTGGTACGTTTGAACCCGTAAAGCTGTCGCTTTGATCTATGGATTGGGGTGTGTAGATCTATTTGTGTATGCAGCCTCTCGCAACTCTCTGACTACTGACTGGTGTCTTGTTCGTGTTGTTATTTTCGTGCCTTATAATGCCTTCCTTCGGCTTGATCTAGAAATCTAGAGACTAGATTCTAGTAATTTAGTAAAAGGAAAGGAGGCCTAGATCTAAATCTGGAGTAAAAGAGATTAGATCTAGAATCTAGAAGATCTAGAATCTAAAATACGTGAAAATTTAAATATCCCTTAAAACCTATTTTGGACCTCTGAATTGAGTCCAGCATGACGTCCGTTACGACTTCCAACCCTTGTTCCTAAATATATCCAGCATTTATGAACATTTTTTCGAATATAAATGACCACAGTGGAGATGTGAGCTTTAATTTTACGAAGTGTATACAGACCCGGTGACCGGGAACAAAGTCACGAAGTACACAGACCTGGTAGGGGAACTCTTTTGTGATTTCGGAAAGTTTCAGCACCCAGACCCGGTAGTGTGTGTGTGTGTGTGAGAGAGAGAAAGAGAGAGAGAAAGAGAGAGATGAGAGAGAGAGAGAAAGAGAGAGATGAGAGAGAGAGAGAAAGAGAGAGCAGGGGGAAGTGCTAGCAAAATATATATATGACTTGCCCCAGTTGGCAGGAGGGAACGAGAGAAAGATAGAGTGGGAAATAGGTGGGGAGAAAGAAAGACAGAGACATACTTACAAAGAAAAAGAGAATGCAAGCGATACACAGAGACATACAAAGAAAAAGAGAATGCGAGCGATGCACAGAGACAGGGGAGAGAGAGAGAAAGAGAGAGAGAGACATTGTTCTTCTTCAAATTGTAATTCCTCTAACTCCAATACAGAGGAAAAACGGCCGTTCATCGAAAAGACATTCGCAATCTTCAAGTGTACGAAAATTGCCGTAACAAAGACACTGGAGGATTAGATCTAGATCTAGATCTACCCCCCCCCCCCCCTCTCTCTCTCCTGCATTCTTCATCACTAATATCTGCATTAAAAAACAAACAACCTTCAAAGCGGCTCTACAAATGATAATTTATGGGACTGTTGGTCAGTTGGGAGGAGGAAAAAAGAAGAAAAAAAATAGTCCGGGACCGAAATCGAACCGCTCCTAAAATCATTGCATGACTTCAAACGCAGACGCGCTGTCTATTCGGCCATCAGAACTTGCGAGAGCGTGGTGTAGATTAAACATTTACATAGACCCTTTATGCACAAATGTGCGTATATTACGCATTAAACCTGCAGATTACCCCCCTTTAAGTTTTGGTTGTGCGTGAGCTTTACTCTATATAATTTCGTTTCGGGGGTTTGCACACTTTAAAACATAGGTGGTGTGCGTCTGGCAAGCATCATTTCCGCCCTTCTCTATCCCAAAGCCGAGTCAGTGTTGACAACACACTCACACACATGCACGACAGTCACTTTCTGTGTCAGAAGAAGTTGACTAATCGAACTACTTATCAGCTGCGTGCTGTTTCCGGCAACACAGGCTGGCTTATGCACAAAGCTCTGCCCACGTTCTGGTTGCTCACATTTGCCGGTGTCGTGCCTTGAGTTTTGTTTTAGTAGAGGTTTTACTGCGCTCGCAACTGCATAAGGTCATATATATGAGCGCCAGTGCCTTGAGTTTAGCCCTGCCGTGAGATTACCTCCATCCTTCTTTAACACACTAGTAAACATGAAATGTCCATCATCGAAAGTGTGGAAAGACTGGAATGTGAACCCTGGGATGACTCTGAAGAATAATGAATCAGTTTATTTTCCAAACCTGCCACTCATCCCTGCCCTAAATCTCAAGCATTCCGATTTTGATCACGTGTACCCTGATTTATTTTTTAAATAAATTTTTTGTTCCGCCTGTTACTCCAGACTTTTCTAAAATCTTACTCTTGCCTTCTTTTCTGTAGAGGGAAGCACTCGTTAAACTTTTTGCCAGCAGAAACTGGGAGCACTATTTTCCTATGTCTATGTCGAAATTTTAGTAGTTGACTCACCAAAAGTTGTGTTGGATCTTTGCTCACACGTGTTATTTCAACTATAATGGAAGTACTAGTATTGATTTGGCATTCCGACTGTAGACATTCTCAAGATCTACTTTCACCAAAACATGGTTTGTCCGAGTTTTGATTAGTCGGGCCCGTCATCAAGACCCTTCAGTAAAACTGTTTCAATCGCGTGTTCACACCACATGACATGACTTCGGCGTGTGTGTCGGGGACCGTCCATTGACGGGGTCAATTTAAGTTCATGCACACTGGTTGAAGCGTCTTTCGGGACTTATCCGAGGGGAGGGGGGCGTTTAAAGCACTTGGACTTGGACTATGAGACCTTGACATGATACTTCAGGATATTTTTAAAAAAATGATAAATACACACAGGCACGCGCGCACTCACACACACACACACCCGTGAAAGAGCACACACTCACACACGTACATCAGAATCCCCTGGAATTTTTTTACGTCAGCTTGGCAGTGACCTAGGTGATTTGTCGTTGTTCCCGATTTTTTTCACCAAGTCCAGATTTTTTGCCCCACTGAGATCCTGACTTTAAGATTTCATAGAGTGGCAGGTCTTTTATTTACTTGGAGTATTATAGTCGGAGTTGACCCCTTTTGGTTTGTCAACTTTATTTTATTTTTGATAGACCCAACTGCTCAACCACCATCACTCTTCCCCCCTCCAAAAGGACACAACTCTAATTCTAGTCAATTATTTCTACTCATTTATTTCTTAATAAAAGTTAATTAAAATCGTTTACATTCAATCATAGTCATTGTCACTCTATGTGTGTCTGTGTGAATATGCGTGTGAGTTAAAATTTGTTAATGTTTGCAAGCAAAAAATCTTACTATAAAATTTTGAGATATTGACTTTTACCCTTTAAGTTTTTAAAACAAGGGTTTAAATACCCCATAAAATAGTAAACCAAAAGTGTGAAGCAACCTCTTAAGTTGGCCTGAAAAGGGGAGCCCTGATAGACTCTTCCATCTCTGGTGCCATGCGGTTGGCTATACTTAGATGTCGTCACGTGATCGGAGGGGTATCCTGGTCTGACGTCAAACAAGATGGGCGCCGTACCTAAAAATAGTTTACGTCTTTCTACGTTTAATCGCATGTTTCTGGGGGAAGAGGTGTTGGGAACACGCCGCAGCTGTCGGGTTTGTGCGATGTGATAAAAAAAATAATTACAGAAAAATTATAACACAACAAAATCAAATTAAAAATGTGGAAAGACAAATTGTGGTGCTAGTAATGATGATGCTGTTCTGGTGGTGGAAAAACCCTAGTTGTCGGTTACCGTGTACTTAGACACTGCCATTGGGTAGATCTAATGAGAGTGCAGTGTTTTGACTTTTGACACAATTACGCAGTCCTAGTAGGCAATTCTAGTTCCAATTCTGGTTTTACGTAAAATCCCCTGACGACAGTTATATTATGTAACCTCCTTACACTCACGTAATTCGCTTAGAAGCTGAGTCCGAATAAATAAAACATTTTTTCGGACCCGAGTCCGATAGATAAAAACCCATATTTAGGATTCGAGATAGAGCTGGCCGGTCGTCCCTTAAAGCAGATGTCGTTTTCAGTTGCGGAGTGATTATTCTCTCCCAGGGTGAGGATAAACTGGATTATTATTCTCACCCAAATAAAACTGATACTTTTCTAACCCCGGGTAAGAATAACGACAGCCTACTATTCGCACCCGTTTTATTTCGTTTCGGGCATCATAGGACCCCTGTCACTGAGCGCTGCAGGTGACGAAACTCGCCTCCCTCTCTGGCTCCGCTGAGCGCACGAGGCAACTACAATCGAGGCAACTACAATCGCCAATAGGCGGGCCAGCTCTCGAGCGCGGGAGGCGACTAAGATCTTTTTGGGGGGAAACTTTTTATCTATCTTTTGAGCAAATAGCATCACCTTTTGTTGCCATGCTATTTATTGGTTCTGTAATGGACAATTTTACTCTTAAATGGTTTAACTAATCAAGAAAAAAAATGTGAAGGGTCAAGGCACTGCGTGCCTTACTTAAAAATAATCGTGTGCTCTGTTCTAATTAGGGATAACATGTTCTTGTGTTGTAAACAAATGCTAATTCTAACATTACATTACAACAATGACAAACTAAAATCTAGATTCTATAATTACTAGATTTAGATCTAGAATCTAACATTATTTCATTTAAACAGTTTTCAGTTAAGGCTATTATTTTTAAAAACACCCTACTCTGGCAAGTGAATTTCTTTCTGAATTTAGAATATAAACTTGTTTTGGGTTTTGGTGAAGATATGCATGCATACTCTCAAGATTTTAAAAAATGAACGAAGTGGCTATGCGCAAGGCTCCCCTACGCATTTATAGCCTCGTGGCTATGCGTAAGGCCCTCCAGTACGCATAGCATCGAGGCTATGTGTATGGCCCTCCACTTCACTATAATATAATAAGCTAGGCTTTGTAGGCGGCACATAAACTATCAAACTGGAAACTAGAAGTGGACAAAATTAAACCCTGAAAGCGCACAGGCCATTTATAAAGGGAGTGAGCCGGGCTACCCGGGAAGGGCGCAGCGCCTATATAGGGATGACCTACTTCGATTGGGAAGCGCGCAGCTATAAAGGGCATAGAGACACTGACCTTTTTTCAATGGAAAATTTCAGCATTCCTTACAGAAAAGGACGTAGTAAATTACAGATCAAAGTTATAAATAGGGACCAATGACTTGGCAAGTTATCTTGATCTTTTAGAGCGTCTCTATTTCACTTTTATTATAGAGGCTATATTTTCACTCAAGTAGGGTAACTCTGATTGCAAAGTCCGTTTAATTGGCTCAATTATATAGAGGAGTGAAATCTTGTTATACACGATCTTTGTCTTGGCGAAGATATCGATCGATAAAGTGACGCGGTCCAGCTGAGCGATCATCAAGGCCGTGAGCATACTTCTACTTTTATCTAAATCTAAGGGCCACACACATCAGGGCCGTATGCATAGCCACGAGACTATGCGTACGGGAGAGCCGTAAGCATAGCCACAGCCAAAAATGAAACTATAACAATCCCTGCGAGAGCCTAGAAAAATCGGCCAGCGCTCTGGGGGCAGATCACGAAAGGTCACTCTTACAATTCACAAAATTGTTTTCTGTCATCCTATTAGATCTAGCTAGGCCTACACATTCTCAACACCCAGGTAGGCCTAAAGAGTAAAAATCCATTGCATTCTCAGACCAGGTGAGAATAATATTCATTTTATTCTCAACTGGGGTGAGAATAACAATATATTACTATTATTCTCACCCGCGGGTGAGAATAATGACAAACTTTCAGTTGACTTCCTCTAAGACTAAGTACTCTAGATCTAGATCTAGATCAGCTTCTACTAGACTCTATTGAGCTGCTACCTCATGACACTTAAGTCACCATTTCTGAGTACAAGTAGCATCCTAGCCTTGCAAACTGAAATTTAAACTAAACTGTTTTATCACCAGACTTCAGGGACTCTTCGGGAGAAGTGGTCCCGGCCTTACCCCATAGACATAAATTACATCATGTACACAATCGGAAACAAAACCGGAAGTTGCCTTTTTTAAAAAAACGAAGTGACTATTTCTCCGAGCGCTCAGGAAAATAAACGGTATATTTTTACTTTCCCTCCCGTCTCAAACTTAGCTGCCAGTTGTCCATTTTCTACTAAATATTGATTCGCTGAACACGAATATCAACTTCTTTTCCGTCGGAAATTAAAATTTTTTTGAAATATTTGATTGTTCTTAATTGAGATAGAAAATCATATCTAGCTATAGAATAGACGTGCTTTGGACCAATCAGAGCTCCAAAGAAAATCTGGGGGTTACAGGGGGGCATGCCCCCGTGTTTTAACCCATAATTTGATATTTTACAGTAAGATTTGAAATTTTCCTGAAAATAATTGATTTGCGACAGTTTTAGTGGCTTTATGTGTGATCTGCAGCAAACAGTGCTGCAGTTTGACCCCTGAAGCAGTTCTTCTGTGTGTGGGAGTGAAAGTCAAAATTTAACAAATAAACTTGAACTCTATTTCTCCGAACGGTTTCCGCTCTCTGGATTTTTTGGTTATTTGTGAGATTTAGGCGTCATCTGCCATTCTGCGAGGACTGGGAAGAAGCATTTTTTGCGTCGAATTCAATTTCTAGAGCTAGAGATTTTAATATCTGAAAAATTCAGCTACTTCAATTGTGGTAGCGGTAACGTTCCTGGACTATTACTTCATTTGAAAATGCCTTCAAAAAGTACTGCAGCGAGAAAACCAGACTGCTCGACCTTGGCAGTAACCTATTTTGCTTTAGTCATCCTTATAGCAAGATCCTTCATGTAAGCATCACGACCCAAAAAAAATCTCTCCACGCCCCGTTCACACCTTATGCTCACACACTCACACACACACACACATGGGCCACTCAATTCGTATATTTTCAACAAATCTAAAGATCGGAAACAGTTCGGAGAGATAGAGTTCAAGTTTATTTTCCCGAGCGTTCAGAGAAATAGAGCCGGCCTAATCTTAAAAATAGAAGCTGAGATATTTGCGATTGAAAGAGGTCATGGACGCCTGGTTGTAGAGGTAAAATTAGCAAGAAAATGGCAACCAAAATTTGTTGATTTCCGAAGCTTGAGAATCCTTGGACACTGAATATTTACATACTATTTGTTGAGCGTTTAATCAGGTTCTTCAGTAAAATTCACACAGAAATATCTTTTTTAATTGACATAAAAGGCGTTGAGCCAAAAAAAACGAAATTTACAGAAAAATTGTCAAACTGTCGGAAAAATGCAGATATAATATAGATGATCTATATAATCTTCGATTCCATTAGTTTGACGAGGGCCTGATTTCATCCCAATGCCTCACGTATTTCAATCGGTTTTATGTAGATCTGTGTCTCAGGGGTGTTCTTTTGCAAAATTTATTGACCTGTAACCTTAACTTAAAAATCAGGGAGCTGTGCTGCAAAGACTGCTAGTCATGTGATTTAGGGGTGGAAATTGTTTGTTTATATTATATTACTTTGTAAATATAGGAGATTGTCATTTTGTTTGAAGCAAATTTCTGGACTTTTACTTTTTATCGTCTTTCTGCTTTCATTTTTACCATCACTAAAACTGTGAAATTTTCTCATAGAGTGACATGAAACTAATGGTCACCAATGATTGTTATTTCAGTGTTGCATTATATTTGTACTTAATGAAGAATATTTTTATTTTCATCCATCTGCAGGCTGCTTTGACTTTGATGATGGGAGACTTTAAGTTGTTCAGGAAGTTTCTCCTTCTGAGAGAAGTTCTTGAATAGGAATTTTCCCTCAAAAGTTCAAATCAAGGGAAGAAATGGCGGATGTGGCAGGTCTGTCTCTACCTGCAACTCATGGTTGTAACTGTTGTTCTGTTTCAGATCTGCTCTCCCTGGAGTCTACTGCATGTTTTTTTTAGATGTCTTCAAGATTGACACACTTTTTTGTGTTGTTTTTTAAAAAAACTTTATGTCTATATTTTCCATCTATGTCTAACTTTATCGACATAATGAGCTATTTAAAATACTGGAAAAGCTAGACATAGATGGAAAAGATCTAAGAATTATCCAATGCCAGGAGCAGACTGTGATAGTGATCATATACCAGTCGTGTGTAAAATCCGGATATGACTAAAGAAACTCAAAAAGTCAAAGTATGAACATAAATTTGACATAGGTCTTTTAAAGACAAATCAAGAAATGAAAGAACGTTTCCAGATAGAGTCATCGTGGCTAAATTAGAGGGAAAACCTTTTGACATAGGTGTCATCCAAATATACGCACCAACATCAGAGCACGACAACGAGGAAATTGAGACTTTTTATGAAGACCTTGATAAGGCAATGAAACAATGAAAATCGCAAGATGTAAGGGTGGTCATGGGAGACTTTAATGCCAAAGTAGGAAGTACACGTATAGAAGATATAGTTGGGCCATGGGGACTGGGTAGAGAGAATGAACGTGGGGAACGACTGGTAGAATGGTGTAGAGAAAATAACTTTATGATATCAAACACCTGGTATGAAAATAACCCAAGAAAAAGATACACTTGGAAGAGTCCTGGCGATAAAAGTAGAAATCAAATAGACTTCATTCTTTTTCAGAAACGTTTTAGAAACACAATAAAATCATCTAAATCAATGCCAGGAGCAGACTGTGATAGTGATCATATACCAGTCGTGTGTAAAATCCGGATACGACTAAAGAAACTCAAAAAGTCAAAGTATGAACATAAATCTGACATAGGTCTTTTAAAGACAAATCAAGAAATGAAAGAACATTTCTCCATAGATGTAAGAAATAAATTTCAAGCTTTGGAAAACATTACTAAATCGGAAGAACTATGGAGGAAAATGAAAGACTCAATAATGGAAGCTGTGGAAGAAAATGTCCCCCCGAAAGCTAAAAAAGCAAATAAAAAATGGATGACCCAGGACATATTAAACCTAATGGAAGAGAGAAGAAAGGCAAAATCAAATGAAGAAAAGTACAACATCTTAAACAGGAAAATAAAGAAAAAATACAACGAAGCAAAAGAAACATGGATAAACGATCAGTGTCAACAAATAGAGAAGAACCAAAGCAAAGACAGCAAATACATGCATTCAAAAATCAAAGAAGTAAGTGGGATAAAAGGATGCTCAAATACAGGATGCCTAAGATCAAAGGGAGGGGATATTTTAATGGACAACGGGGATGTCTTAAACAGATGGTCAGAATACATAGAAGAACTTTTCAAAGATAATAGAGGAGAAAAACCGGTAATAAAGAATGAAATAAATGGACCTCCAATACTGAAAGCAGAAGTACAAGCTGCCATTAGGAAAATGAAACAAGGAAAAGCCACAGGGCCAGATAATATTCCAGTTGAAGTGATTGTCACGCTCGAAGAACTAGGCACTGAAATAACAACAAAGCTCCTAAATGCTATTTATGACAGCGGTGAGATCCCAGAAGATATGATGAAGTCAGTTTTATAGCTTTACCTAAAACACCAGGTGCCACTGAGTGTGATATGCATAGAACAATTAGCCTTATGAGTCATTTTACAAAAATATTGTTGCGAGTAATAATGGGAAGATTGAGAAGAAGTGTAAGACCAGAGATATCTAAAACACAATTCGGCTTTGTTCCTGACAAGGGCACCAGAAATGCTATATTCACTTTACAAATGTTAATGGAAAGATGTATTGAAGCACAGAAAGATCTGTATTTATGCTTCATAGATTATTCAAAGGCTTTCGATAAAGTTCGACATGATGAGCTATTTAAAATACTGGAAAAGCTAGACATAGATGGAAAAGATCTAAGAATTATCAGAAATTTGTACTGGGACCAAAACGCTGCTGTAAGAATTAATGGAGAATACAGTGAATATGAGCAGATTAGGCGAGGAGTGAGGCAAGGATGTGTTATGTCACCAGACCTCTTTAACATGTACAGTGAAACAATTCTTAGAAACAAAGAAGAATGTCCAGGCCTCAAAGTTAATGGAGAAAATATTAATAACATCAGGTATGCAGATGACACGGTTTTAATAGCAGGCTCCGAAAAGGACCTTCAAATGCTTCTAGATACTGTTGTAAAAGAAAGTGAACATAAAGGATTATTGTTGAATGTAAAGAAAACAGAATGCATGGTAATATCCAAAAAAGCAGCAAATCCTAGTTGTAATCTCATTAGCAAAGGTGAAAAGATCAAACAAGTACAACAGTTTAAATATCTAGGATATATGATAACATCTGATGCCAAATCTTCCGCAGAAATAAAAAGGAGAACCCTCTCTCTCTCTCTTCTGGCGCTGTGGCTTCATAAGCGGTCAGCGATGCCGACAGCACGCAGGAACTCAACACTCGCCCGGGGTTCCTTAAAAAGTGCTGAAAGTGGGTTACTGAAATGTCCCAGCAGACGGGTTCTAGCACGATAGCTGGCGGGACACCTCAGGAACACATGGTCCATAGTTTCGTCCTCCTCCTTGCAGGCTCGACAGGACGGATCTGGGTTGTCTGCTGGCGCAATTTTGTGGAGATATGATCTCAGCTTGGGCGATTTTCCACCAGTTCTCATTTGGGAGAGAAGCCGGCGGTCCTGTCGTCTGAGCGAGGCCTCAAGCTGGAATGACGGCGGCTGGGCAAACGGCAGTTTGGGTTTCGCCTCTCTTTTCCACTTTGCGCGGGTCGATCGGTGGATGACGGCTTTAGCTGTCGAGAAATCGATTGGCGTGTCAATCTGGGTAAGCGCTGTTGCTTCTTTGGCGATGCTGTCAACTTCCTCGTTCCCAGCCAGTCCGGCGTGGCCTGGAATCCACTGTAAGTGGATGGAACATTCAGAGCGTTGACAGAGGGTGTGCAGATGTTGCCAGATTGAGCAGGCCACCTTTTCCGATTGGTTGGTAGGGCCGTATGAGAGGCGCATGACTGCTGATCTAGAATCAGTGTATACATGGATGCGTGCACTGTTCGGAAGGTTGCCTGCTGTATGTAGTGCCACAAGCATGTCAAGCGCTGTGTCGAGAGCTACAAGCTCGGCCCTGTAGCTGGAACAATACCGGCCCGCAGGTACACGTTGGTCGAGTTCGGTATCACCGGTCTTGATCAGTATTCCACTTCCTCCATACTCAGTACCGTGCTCAGCTGAACCGTCAGTCCAGACTTCTACATCGGGCAGGGGGAGCGAACGAATTGTAGCCTCTGCTGCTGCTTTCCTGACAGCTGGTTCATTAGCACGTTTGCAGTCGGCGACAAGATCGGTGCTAAAAGTCACGTTGTATGATGCAGCCTTCCACGGTTGTGTGGGGGGTAAAACAACCAGCTCCTCACGTGGGTACGTATCCAGTTCAGTTTCGGCTACGAGGTTCTGGGCATGCTTTCTCCAGTTCGACTTGCCTGTCCGCGTGGGCACTGATTTTGTTGCGGAGGCTTTGCGTTGGTTCGTTGTAGGCAGACGCATGGACTTCTCGAATGAGATGGCAGTCAAGGCATCAGCTCTATGCCTTAGTGGTAAAATGTCTGCTTCGATGAGGAGGCTGTCCACACGAGTATCCCTTGAGCAGCCTGTGATGATTCTTGCTGCTTCATTCTGCTTTCTTTCCAGTTTCTGCAGATTGGAGGGTTTGGCAAGAGGCATGTAGGCAGGGGCACAATAGTCGATAGCTGACCGACAAGTAGCATAATATATAGGCTTTATGCATTCCCTGGAGGCACCCCAGGTGGTGCCTGTAAGGGCTTTCAATGGTCGAAGTCTGCTGGACAGTTTTAACTCAAGGTTTTGGATGTGGGCGTTGGAGGATAGAGTATGATCAAGTGTAACCCCAAGTAAGGTGGGGTTGGAGTTGAAGGTGATGGGGGCGCCTTTGAGTGAGAGTGTTGGTTTTCGCTTGGCCTCGTGGGTGCTGGTGGTGAAGAGGGTGCACTCTGTTTTCTCCGTACTGATCTCCATCTTGTTTTGCTTTGCCCACTGCTCAAGTATGTTTATGGCTGCTTGGACACTGTTTTCAGCCTGATTTATGTCTTCGTTGGTGGCGTATATTGTATAGTCATCAGCATAGAGTCCCGTCTTCACGGTTTCAGGCAGGCCTGCTTCAATATCATCGATGAAGACAAGGAACAGTGTGGGGGACAGGACACTGCCCTGGGGGACTCCCTGCTCGAAACGGCGAAGCCTGCTTGTTGCGTTGCCGTGCTCGACGCAGGCGTATCTGTCTCTGAGGAACGAACCTATCCATTGGGTGATGCGGCTGGGAGTAGATTTCTCAATCATCTTCTCCATTAACCTCGTGCGCCATACCTTGTCGAAGGCACGCGAGAAGTCCACGAGGGCCAGCACAGTTCGTTTCATTTTGGGACGAGCCTGGAATCCATCGGAGATATGTTGTGTTAGGCACAGGACTTGGTCTTCAGTAGACCGTAACTTGCGGAAGCCCGATTGGTTGTTGCTCAGCAAGTTGTTACTCTCCAGAAAGAACATCAGGCGGTTCTTGACGAGGGTCTCCATCAGCTTAGCAAGGCAGCTGGTGAGACTGATGGGGCGGTAGGACCCAATCTTTCCTGCAGGCTTATTCTTCTTGGGTATTGGTATGATTTTGGCACGTCGCCAGCTGTTTGGGACAATGGCCATTTCCCATGATAGGTTGAAAAGACGGAGCAGGGCAGAGTTTGCGATGGGTCCGAGGTGTTTGATCATCTCATTGGTTACACCATCAAGCCCGGGAGATTTGCCGTTTTTCAGCTTTCCTATACAAACTGTCAGTTCAGCCATGGTGAGGAGAGAATCATAGCCTGTGTTCTGGTCAATAGGGAGGAGTTTAAGCTTTTCATTAAGCTGGTAGTGCCGGTGTTTGTCTGCCTTGTCGAGTTTTAGGCGGCTGACTGAGGCGTATTCACGGCAAAAGGCTTCAGCCTTGCTTCTATTTCCTTTTAGGGTTTTATTGTTTTCTGTGAGTGCACTGCCGGTGGAGGGGGTTTTCTTGCCTGAGATGGCATTTATGACTCTGAAGACTTGTTGAGGGTCAGTCGAGAGGGACATCTCTGAGGTAAAGTTGCGCCAACAGTCGCGCTTCATCTCGTTTAGGCGGGATGTGGTTCTTTTAGACGCCTCTTGGTAGTTTCCAATGTCTTCTCGTGTTTTGGTTGCCATGGCTTTTTTCCTCAATTGCACTTTTTCTTCTATCAGTTTGTCCGCTTCCTCATTCCAGAAGGGTTTAGGAAGTTTACGAGCGCCCTTAGGGATACTTTGTTTGGCTGCTTTTAAAATGGCCTCAGTTAGGCACGTGTTTAATTTTGTGGCGTCCGTCATGTTAGGCATGTCATTTGCTAAAGTCTCTGTTTCCATGTGGGCATTGAACAGTGACCAGTCAGCCTTCTTGAAGGACCATTTGGCTTTGCTTCTACGGGTGGGGGCAGAGTGTCTACAGAGTTTGATTTCGATGGCTTTGTGGTCAGAGACCAGGGTGTCACTGGTTTTCCAAGAGACATAAGCAACCTGTGAAACATGACAGAAGGAAATATCAGGGACTGATTTGAGCATACTGCTCGGGTCGATTCTTGTTTCGCAGCCGTCATTGAGGGCAATCATATCATTGTCGAGGGCCCAGTCATCAATTTCTGTTCCGGTGGCACACTGGTCGACGTAAGGGTCCCACGAAGGGTGATGGCAGTTGAAATCGCCTACGACGATGGTGTTTGCATCAGTCTTGAGTACGTGGGGAACGAAGTTACCTTTGTGGCGTGGTGGGATGTACAGGTTGACGACTTTAAGGGTTCTGCCGGGTAAGTACAAGAGTGTGCCTACGAATTCCGTTGTGGAGTCGGGGTTGGCAACTACTCCATCATGGAATCGGTGGTAGGTAATACCATCTTTAATCAATGTCGCGACCCCGCCTCCATTGTTTCCGTCATCTCTGTCACTTCGTTCAATAGAGTAACCAGGCACACAAATGTCTATATTTCGGCTTAACCATGTCTCTTGAAGGCAGATAATGTCTGGGTGGTTGGTGTCGATATGCCGAAGGAGCTCAATTTTGGCACTGCGCAGGCCTCTGATATTCCATTGGAGGATGTTTAGGGCTCGATTGTTCTCCTTCTTCATACAGCGGGTGCGCTCATGGTTCCTGGCATTAGAGTCCGTGCAACGGTTTTTACGGCGCAATTGTCTGACGTGCCGTTGTCGAGTCATGGGTCGGTTTGGGTCGAGTTGTGTTGGAGGTGTGTAGACGGGTTGTGTCGCTGCTCGTAGCGGATGTTGCGCCGCTCCAATCGTACAGGAGGGGCACGTCCATTCTGCGGTAATGCGTCTTCCCTTCTTCGTTGATGGCAGGCTTAGCATCTGTTGTCGGGTGAGGTCAGAGCATTGGAGGTGGATCCACAGAAGACACTCCTGACATCGGGCCGATACTGCTTTTGCAGGCACACTGTCGCCGCATACTCCACAGGGCCAACGGGGTCCCGGATTCTGCTCCACGTCCCCGGCCAAGATCAGCAGGCGGGCCAGCCAGGCCGGGTTATGCTGGCCGCCAAGGAGAACTGCAATGGCTAAGGCTAGTTTCAATAAAATGAGCCCAATCCTGAAAAATAGAAACATATCAATGAACACCAAAATGAAAGTCCGGAAATGCTATGTTTGGTCAACCCTTCTATATGGCTGTGAATGCTGGACAATCGCTTAAGACAGTGAAAATAAAATAGAGGCAACAGAAATGTGGTTTCTTAGGAGACTACTAAGAGTATCGTGGAAGGAAAAGAAATCAAATGAGGTAGTGCTTGATGAAGCCCACGTGGGACGCTCAATGTTAAAAACAATCAGGAAACGACAAATGCAGTTTTTGGGACACCTGAATAGACATAAGGGTCTTGAACATCTAGCTCTCACTGGCAAAATTGAGGGCAAGCGAGGCAGGGGTAGGCCCAGAACAACATACTTAGGGAACCTAAACAAATGGGTAACGGAAAAATCAGGGAAACGTAGCTTTTCTGAGAGCATCCGAGCAAAGGAATGAATGGAAAATCATGATCGCCGATGTCTGTCGCAGATCTGGCACTGGATGATGATGATTGCTTAATGATGAGCCACTAAAATGCAGCCTGAAAATGATTAGCAACGCAAGCATTTTTGTCTTGTCTTATTGAAATTAATATATTTTTTTCTCTGAAAGAACTTTGCTGGTTTTTCCAATGTTCAGCAAACATTGTCATTTGACTTTTGATCTCTTAGTTACGAAAACAATTGAAGTGTTGAACTTGTTGTTGTTATGTTGTTGCTAGCGATCCAGTAGCATCTGAGGGTGACTCTTCTACAAGATGCCATTCTGTAATAGCTGCATGTCTGTTCTAATTGTTATATTGAGGAGTAGAGGCAGTTAGATGTGTGGGGTAGCTTGGGAAGAAAACATCCCCTCCCATCAGTTAGTTTTCTACAGAAGAACAGATGATGTTCCACTGTCTCCGAGGGGTATTCACATAGTGTGCAGGCAGCAGACTGCTTTACTCCAATTCGGTTGAGGTGTTGATTGAGGCGTACATGTTGTGTTTTAAGTTGGAAGATTATGGATTGATCTGCCCTCCTCAACTCACTGATTGGATCTTTGACCAGTGGTTTATTCATACACATCATCCTTCCTGTCGTACCTGTGGCCCAAGCATTCATCCAGTCTTCCTTGAGATTTGACTTGATCATTTGACAGCAGGTGGTGTAATCAGAAAGAATATCAGGCTAAGGGAGTCTAGCTTCTTTCTTTGCTAGAGCATCAGCTCTTTCATTTCTCGGTATCCCAGTGTGAGCAGGAATCCATTGTTGTATGACTACTCTGATTGGGTGTCTACTTTTCAAATTATGTAGACTCCAAGTCAAGTGTGATCTATCTTTGTTCACATCACTCACACTCTCAAGTGTCTCTAGTGTTGAAAGGGTTTCTGTAAAGATAACAATGTCTGTGGTAGCAAGTGGGTTAGTGTCAGCTGGAATTAAAGACTTCCTTTTTGATCCCATTGAGCAAGTTGATCACTGACCCATATTCCAGCGTTGATTGTTGACTTTAAAGGTAGATCCATGGCAAATGAGTGGATCCATGTTGGTGGATAGGAATCAATTGTTTCAAGTGCAAAATATTTTAGTGCCGCAGGATGTGTGTTTTAAGTGTTGAACTTCAAACAGTACTAACAAGGGTAACTATCAAGTAGCACTGAACTCTTGTTTCTAAGAAAGTCATATATGACTCTGTATTTATGTGTGTAATCGCCTATCATTCTGCTGAATAGGAGTGAACAGCAATATTTGTCTAATAATTCTGAACCAAAAAGCTTTAATGAATCAAGTCTGCATTAAATAAGATTGTTTCAAATTCTGGACCATTTCCTCCTCTTTCAACTTTCATTGTCTTTCTTAATAACTACTCTACATTTCATTCTTACTTATTATTTCAAACATAATTTCTTAACTAGTGGCCTAGTCAGAAGGTACTCATGGTACACTTTTTGTTTTGGAAGGCGTTTTACAGCTCTTGCAACACAATTTAGGTCATATAAGTGCCGAAGATTGATCAGACGTGTTGCATGTTGTTTACTGTTTTGCAAGGATTTTTAAAAGTCTTTTAACGTTCTGATTTCTTTACTTCTGCAGGTGACAAGACAGGTTCCTCTTCTTCCACACCACCAACTGATGGTAGGATGTTTATTTAATTCAACTTCATTTCTGACCGAAGATTACTCTGACTCTGGCTCCTCAAACAAAGATAAATAGTCCTCGGCTCCCTCAATAGACAGTACAGCAACCTAGTGGGGCAGCTTCTCTGACATAGGGTTGACACCAAGGACAGTGATAGTAAACTTGTAGCAATAGAAATGATATTTCTTAGGAGACTGTTGAGAATTTCATGAAGGAAACAAATCGCAAATGAAATGAGGTTGGGGTAAAATGAAGAACATGCGGCTGCTCTCTATAAACTCTTTATTAGGATTTACTATTGCTACTAGACAACGTGGAAAGGACTTAAGGAATGAAAACATCTAGTTATACTTTGTAAAAGAGTCAGTTTGGCAATAAACAAGGGAATTGATTCTTGCAGTCTTGCATCAACATAATGATGTAATGGGGACTCGGTAGAAATATCATAACTTAAATAAAAATTGTAACGTTGCTTTCAAATGAAAAGTTGTGCATTCAGAAATTGTGTGGATTATGAACATGGCTGCGTCTGATTAGATAGCGATAATGCTGATTTGCTTTCTCATGTTTGATGAGACTTTTTTTTTTGTCCAGATATATTTTTCATATCACCATCACCCATTCTAATCCTTGATGTATGTTCAAAATTGATCCTTGGTTTATGTTTGAACATATTTTTCATTCAATTTCCTTCAGTTTGATGTCACATATTACCTTTTGAATTATGGCTATGCATATATATACACATAAAGTGATTTTGTACATCACCTGTACACCCAAATCAAGTCAGAAATATATATCGTTTTATGACCCCCCCCCAAAAAAAAACTACATCTGGAAAGAGTTTAAAACAATTAGTTTAGGAAGAGTCGAATGCAGTTTCTGGACACTTAAATGTACAAAAAGGCTTTGAGCTTCTTGCTCTCACTGGACAAATGAAAGGGAAGTGTAAGCAGAGGTGGATGTAGAGCAACTTTCTTTGAAAACCTGAAGAGAGAGATGATGATGAAAGACCAGGATAATTTCAGGTTGGGTTTTTTTAAAGAGCATCTGAGCAAAGAAATAAATACCAAGCTGTGATTGCCAAGGTTTGCTCCTGGTCTGGCACCCTATGGCGATGACTACTTTGTCTTCTGTCTCATCTTTTCATCTCAGAGAATGGTGCTGTTTAGTAAGAACATGTGGACATTCCAAACCCGCATTGCTGACCTTTCTTTCAAAATGACATCCTGATGAGTTGGGGTTTTTTTTTAGTTGTAGGTGGTTGGCGGGTGCTCTGGTGTGCTTTGCTCCTTCTTTCCCATCAAACATCTGTCGTCCTTATCTCCCCTCCTTCCATTTTGTGTTTGTAATTGTTACTCTCTTGTAACACCTCTAATCTTCGGCTCTTATATGACCTCATTGTGTTGCAAGTGCCGTAAAACACTTTCTTAAACTTTTTTTAATTCTTAAATTTTCAGGGAGGATAACTATTTTATTCACCATTAACATAACTTTCATCATGCAGGAGGTGGGCTGCCTCTGACTCCCTTGCGGGGTACAGCCTCCTAGCTATGAGACAGATACGCTCAATAAAAAAAAAGTTCCCCCCTTGGGAATAGAATTCATATCAAAGAGTCTTCAGGTAATTTTAACACCACAGATGCTTCACTTGCATCTGTGGTGAAGCAGTTCGATACTTTGCTGTCGCTCACAAAAGATCAACTCCTGTGTGGGGATAATTTTTTTCGAGTATATTTGTCTTTCTGTTGTATCCCCAACAGCCGAGGTTGGTCCTGACAGGCAGGGTCAAAGCCGGCCTCCTAAATGATCTAAAATGGGTCAATAGGGGTGTAAAAATTCCTACATTAAAAAGAAAGATATTTAAATGGGTCCTAGTCACATGTATGTCTAGCGAGGCGTTGTACTCACTCAGAGACAGACACCTCCCTGAAAGGTCATTGAAATGTTTCTGTGGCTAGAAAATGATTTGGCTTAGACTTAAGGGGGACAAATATCATGTCCTTTCCATTTTGTTCTTTCTACTTAGAGACGTTCAGGCCGGGGATGTGAGTCATCAGTAGAAAAAGAAATGTTTGTGGAAAGTTCAGATAATGTCAAGATGGTCCGAAACCCTGATATCTTAATAAGAGCCAGATTCTATTGTTAATGTTTCGTTTATTGCATTTTGATGACCTTTGTTTCTGTTATCTAAAGGTCATTTTCCATATTTGTGAAGAGATTTCGTTCTTACGTGGGGATAATACTGGTGTCAGGTTTAAAAATGACATGCCTCTTTTTATGAAAATCAGCCTTTAAGTTGCTATAGAATATAGAAATGCCTCTGTCTTGAATTGTGGTTTATTGAAATACACAAATAGAAAATGTTATGTTTTTTCTAGTATAAAAGAGATGGTCATTGGGAAGCTTGGGTAGCATTGCGTAAACTTGAATTGTGACATTTTTAACATTTTATATTATGTAAGATTTTGTATTTGAACGCTCTCTTTCTCAGAAGAATGAAACTGTGTAAAAAAAAAAGTTCTATTCTTACTTTACTTTGTCAAGCGACTATGCATTACAGACTTTTGTTTCCAAGTTATTTTCATGAGTGTTTAAACAATTATATCTAGCAAAATTGGACCTGAAAAAATAAAATTTCGTATTTATAGTATTTTTTCCTTCCTTTTATAACTTCAGAAAACTGAAAATTTCCCAGAGTTAAATAGACTGAAAAAGGTAACCATTTAGAGGGCCTTGTCTGAATGCTTAAACTACTATTTCAGATCTAATATGTTGTCCTGCCTTTGATGTAAGAAGGATATGGACAAGGCTGCTGTAACAAGCCAGGCTGAAACTGAAAGTAAATCTATAAAGTGAATGAAATTCATTATACATATTTTTTCTGACTGTTTGCCAGGTGTGGGGGGAGGCCCCATCATCAAAGAGTCCCAGGAGTCAGAGGAGTACCAACAGGACCTGCAGGTTGTCCTGGGCACGGCGTTCGGCGTCATCGCAGTTGTCGGACTAATTGCCCTCACTTTCCTCCTGTACCGAGTGTACCGGGCTCGGCAACGGGCTCTGGCATGTGAGTGTTTAGTCAGTCTGGTCTTTTTGTTGTTTTTTTTCTTTTTTGTTTGAATTTTCACCTTGGTATTTAATGTTTAACCCTGCTGCTGATCTTAATGTGAGGTCAGCAGTAGACACCCTGTTATTTGACCAACTGTACGAAGGGACTGATTATAATGTCAGGGTTCCCATTCAACCGGGAAGACAGGAAAAAGCCATTTCCCGGCCAGAAAAACATAAAAACACCATGAAAATAATGGAAACTAAGAGAAAGTCAGGACATCAAAGGGCTGCCCATCATAATGAATTTGGCAGAATCATTAACATAACCGAACCCATTGAGCCCTTACCACTGGTAGACCGGAGGTGCATGAAACTGCCCGTACGCCTAACCACCGGTATACCGGTGAGCGAAACCTTATTTCCAACCCGGCCAGCCTGGGACAAAATGTACACGAAAACCAGTGTTTGTTTCACATGATGTATGTTATTGATTATTTTGAAGATCTGTCTGAATTAGATGCTGGTAATGACAAGGACTGCCGTGAGTGGGATGTGGAATGTGATTCTGACGATCTTATGGATGTTGGTAATATACCACTGTGGAGTTCAGGCAGAGGGGTACGGTAGCCTCAGGAAGTCAGGGCTCAAAGGGTTATGGTTTCTAAACTTTTTTTTTTCAGTGTTTTTAAAATACGATCATAACACCCCACCCCAAATTCCGATTTTAAAAAAAAGTATTTGCCGTTCAGCTACCTCAACCCATCCCCACTTTACTGGCTTGTAAGTTAAGAAAAATCAGAACCAGACAGTCTATGTTACTATGTCACGTGCTCTAACTTTAACACCCTCTGCTGTGCACAGAGCTCTTATAATCTCTCGCTCTGTGACACATCCTTAGAAAAACATTAGCTGGAACTAAGGACAACATTAGGTTGACAAGGTGTAAAAAAATTTATGTGCCTCTGTGTTGTCTTAGGCGAATGAGAGAATTTCTTAAAAATCTCTCCAAAAAAAGTTTGAAACTTTTGACAACCAATTTGCTGTGTTGTGTAGTGAAATACAATCAGGATCAAGAGCTTGTGACGCTCTTAGAAGGGTAAAGTCAGAAAACCACCCTGTCTGAAATGAGACATAAGTTAACTATCTTTTTAAAACTTTTTTCCTCAGATACTCCAAATGATGAAAATGGTGTGTTTGAGAGACAGATGTCAGTTGGTAAGTACAACCTCCGTGTTGCTGTTTGTGAACTTGGTTGTTTCGGTTGCTATGAACACATCGACAATGGCCCATGGCATGCTGTGTCCTGCTTCTGAAATAACTTTTCTAGGTTGAAAGGTGGCTTGTCTTTCGAAATTGTTTAAGTTTCTGCTGCAGATATTGCATGGACTTTTCATTGTGTGCCATCTCAGTGTCTCTTTGTGCTTGACTATCGTGATTATTTCGACCATCATGCAGGAAGTGGGTTTTATTTTCTTTACTAATTTTCCTTTATGACATGGCAAAACCACGTAAACAATATCGTTAAAAAAGTAAATCAGAGGCTGTACTTTCTGAGGAAACTAAAGTCTTTCAATCTGAATCCATCCATCCTTCAGATTTTCTACACCACCACAATAGAAACTTTGATAAATTTTGGAATCACTTGCTATGGTAGCAATCTGGGAAGGCAGCACATTATAAAACTAAATAAGTTGATAAAAAAGGCATCAAGAACAATTGGTAGAGACCTAAGTAACTTTGAATATCTGCACAAGACAAACGTTCTAAAAAAGGCGGAAATAATGCTTAGTGACCATAGCCACCCACTGACATCGGAATCTCAACTATCGACCCGCAGTAAACGATACATTTCCAAAAAAGCAAGAACAGACAGATATAGAAATTCATTCGTACCAACTGCAGTGAGGTTACTGAACACACAGTGCTACAAATGAAACAGAGAGAGAGAGAGAGAGAGAGAGAATGAATGTGTTACGGAGCGGGTTGTCCCAGCCCGTGAGACATGTATTTACTTGGCATAATGTCCTGTCTTGTTGTGCGTTTGCGTGAGTGCACCTTTAAGTCTAACCTTTGTAACGTCTACTGCCATTGTTAACGACCAAGACAAATTTCTCCCTGCGAGATGAATAAAGATTGTCATTGTCATTGTCATTGTCATTTGTGGGCGGTATTTTCTGGTCTGCTCTTACAACATCTGGTGGTCCCTGCTACTATTGTTATTGTAATCCTTTATAGATGAAATATTATGTTTGTTGCTGTGGGAACTCCTTACAAGGGGTTCTTTCCCTGACTATTGTACTATTGTTGTTCCTTTATGCTTCTTGTTGAAAGGCAGGTGGTTTGAAGGTGGTGCTGGTGTGTCCTACTTCTTTGTTGTTATCCCTTTGTTGTTTCTGTCTATCTGTCTATCTTTTTTGTCCCAGCACTGAATGACTGTTACTGTGTTGATGTGGTTCTCTTTGACACTCCTCCATGTAAAAATGTTTCTGTCCTCCTACCGTCTGGTCCAAGACTGAACACCCCTGTATTGTTTCCTCAGACATTGGTGTCAAGTCCCAACCCGTGGTCCTACTTCTCTACGCCAACGACTGCCCGATTCACGAGCGGGTTGTAGCAGCTCTGGCAGGTTTTCTAATGGAGGTTTGTGGGGTCACAGTGACCCTTGACCTTCTGGAAGAGACAGACATCATGGAGCGAGGAATCGACGACTGGCTGGTGGACAAGTTACAGGAAGCGGATTACATCCTCGTCATATGCTCTGTCGGGGCTAGACTTCGCTGCTCCAAAAAGAAAATTCGATTTAAGTCGGATAGCAGCAGGGTTCTGCCAGATTATTTTGCCGTGGCGGTGGATTATGTTGCAGAGAAAATGCGGGCAGAGAAGCAGAAAGGGCTGGGTATGAATAAGTTTGTGACAGCTTACATGGAGTACTCTACCCCATCAGATATACCCCCGCAGTTAGAGTCATCGACACAGTTTTGTCTGATGAAAGATATCCATGCCATGCACAGCCATATGAACGCTCAGGGACCAGAATCTGACAAGAGTGACTCTGGCTCTCAGCACAGCTCGTGTGAACGTCACTACCACGAAACAGAGACAGGGGCTCTTCTGAAGGCCACGCTCGAACAAGCGAAGACGTTCTTTAGAGAGAACCCTGCGTGGATGGATGAGTGTATCGAGCATATCGAAGCACCGTTTTGGTCACTGCGCCGAGGCAAAGCCAAGAAAAAGCGTCGCAACTCCATGGAACAACCTCTCATGCTCTCGGGGACGCCTCAGGTGATGTCTTACCAGAATCATGACAACGTTCTGGGCGTGGAGAGGGGCACGCTTGGCGTCAGTCCGTCAGCTCTCTCACACCACATGATGCACCGGTCGACCTCCAAGAACTTGCCGTTCCATCACAGTGAACTGATGGCCGTGGACCCGGAGGTGTGCAGCACACTGCCGCGCAGCAGCGCTACCTCACACCTACAGAAGTGTGGCCAGTTCTGTCTCCTCGGGACGGGCGTGTCCCAGGGCAGGCAAAACTCTCTCCCTTCGTCTCTGGCCAGCAGCTGTCTCATCGACCCCACGTCTACTCAAACAATGTCCAAGAGTATGGACAGTTTCGCGCGAGATTCGGCCATCCACGCTGAGCTAGACGGGCACACTTGTTTCTTCTGCAATAACGTCCACATGGATATACGGTCGTCCTGTCGGAGACACGCCCATGCCAGACATAAAGGTTCGGACGGAGATTTGCCTCAGCACTCGTCCTTGGTCTCGATGGACCACAGCTGCTCACATCTCGCGTTACCGACGTACGGTGTGAGTCCGAGTCGTTCTCACACGATCCTTCAGGCAGAGGTACACCAGGAATGGGGCCACTCAAACAAGGGCACGCCCGAGAAGAAATCTGCAACGTTAACTGGAGACCCACGCTCGTGGAGCTCTGACCTTGACACAAGCGGCGGTCCCCTCACGCCGTATCAGTCCCTCCCTCCCCACTTCCCCCCACCCGTGTCATCACAGCCCCCGGACAAGTGGGAGCTTCGTCAAAATCTCCACGGGTGGCCAGATTCTTCGTGCCACACCAGGCTGGACTTGTGCAATCCCAGACTGCCCCGGCGGTCATCCTCGGATGTTTCTATCTCTACAGATGACTCTGGGTCGCTATCAGACGGAGACTCCTTGGAGAGAGACTTGCGATCCATTCAGAATATTTCGTCTTTTCATGACTTTGTGATTTCCTCGTCTTTCGTTGGAAGTGATCGATCGGCGCAGAGATCTTTAAAAAATTCTGTTCATTCAGACATCAAGTTGCCAATGTGTCTGAAAACTTACGATCTTTCGTCTTTAAAACGGGAGGACTTTGACATGGAAAGGTGCACATATCGCAGTACGGAAGAAGTGGTATGATGTACACATTCACACTCTGGACATGGCCACAATCCAGTGGAGAAGCCCCAAGTGGTCTGAAGTGCTATTTTGTAAAGATACAAATTTTACTTTTGGCAAACATACTTGGCCACATCCACTCCACTTGTGATGGGGGAGAGAGGTGGGGAGGGAAGGGGGGTGCAAAAGGGGCTGTGGCTGTAAATCATATAAAGTCTGGCCCTGATGTTTCTGATTTTTTAAAATCCACAAACACATGTTTTCTTTCACTGAATTCTGGTCTCTGTATCATAATAAATTATTTTAATGTGATGTGCAGAAAGTGGTTGTATATCTCACATGTTCTTTGTGAGTGAACTGTTTTCAAAAGATGAGCTTGACTCAAGAAGTGCTTTCTTTTCCGTTTACATCAAACCACAAAGATGTAAAAACTAAATGAAGTCGGATTTTTTTTCAGTTAAGGAATAAGCGTGTATGTGTATATTGTTGCTATTGCAAGAAAAATGTGTGATTCTATTTTTTTTCTCTTACCATGAGAAACAACTATATTTTTCTTTTGACACTGATGATATTTTATGGGAAATTGTGGAAAGCTCTCGTTTGGTTTGCTCCTTCTTTACTGTCAAACATCTATCGTCCTAAATCTCTCCTTCTTTTCTTTGTATGTTACTCTCTGTAACATTGACACCTCTATTCTTCAGCACTAATGTAACCTTTTTGTGTAAGAAGTGCCGTAAAACTTTTACTATTTAAATAAAAACTAAACTCACCGTAACTATTTTAAAATATTGTATATTTCAGCATAATTGATGCTGGCAAGCGCTGCCTTTATGTGGGGGAAAAAGGCAGGCAAACACACATATATATATAGTATCTGCATGATCTTTTTGTCGTACTGTGATGATTGTGTACTCCCTTTAGTGGAGTTCAAACGATGATCGGATGATCGACTTCACTGTGCAAGTCTTGTGTCTGATTATCTTTTCAGCCTGAAAAATTTTTTTACTTTGCATTTGACTAGAATTTTTATTGAGTATCTCTGTCTTTCTGTTGGGCCTTGTCCCTCTTTGCCTGGGTTGACCCTGATAGGCAGGGTCAGAACAGCCTGTGTCCTCAATGATCAGATTTGTATTGATTGAGGTGTGAAACACTCACTATTTTAAAAAAAGGAAAAAACATGGGGTATCGATTGCATTAGACAGGAGGGCATTATAACAGTGTTTTAATTTGATTTGAAAATTTGGGTCGTTGCAATGTTTTTAAGGTACATGTACTGCAACCTTTTGAGAATGGGTCATGAACATACAGTGGAATCTGCTTAAACCAAAAGCTACAGGACTGCCTGATTTTTTTCATTTAAACAGGGATTTCTGTTTCGAGAAGTTGCTGAAATAGTGATGATTGTCGACAGCATGGAGTTAGGAATGCTATACTGGCGGCAAATTTCAACTTTTAAAAAAGTTGTTTTCTTATCTACCACTCACAGTAACTGCAGTTTGAGCTGCAAGCTGTATTGTATGCATTGTCCTTTCTTTTCGACATTATCAGCTTGCTTATTCTGCCAAACAGTCACAAGGAAAGAAAGTGAGAAAGAAAGCCCAATGTCCGCGACATCATAAAACACACCACATGCCTCCACATGCTCATGTGTAGAACCTGTGTAAACTAGCTTTGCAGAGACAATGAGCAGTGACCAACTGCAAATGGCGTGACCAACATACATATTTGCTATCCTGCGTAACTAGGCCTAAACATAGTGTGAAGGTCTATATTGATGTGGGCAATTAACATCTAATAGGCAAACAGTACACTGTCGTTGCCTCTCTCTCTGGCCCGCAATCAACACACTTGTTACCTCATGTCTTTGTCTTCTGTGTCGCTGTCTTGAAGCATGCAATACGTGATGATTTGCAGTAGTTGAAGGTTGCCAGTGAAAATTTAGAGGACTTAACCCTCAAAATTCTTTTCAGTTTAGAAATGCTCCTATTTCGGGTTATCAATAGATTTTTTGCAAAGACGAAGAAAAGAATCAAGGATTTTATTTAGCGGTTCATCTGTGTTCGGATTTACCGTGTTCGGTTAAAGCAGATTCCACTGTTTATTATATTTGAACTGATCGTCAAAGCTGTTTGAAGAATACTTTTCTTTTGAATATCATTTAATGATAAATAGCCATTGAGCATTTTATGAAGTGTGGCTTATTGAATGGATTAAGACAGGTGCTCTTATATTATTGTATTTATACTGTACTGTGTGTTTTATGAAGCAAGTCGTCAGTGCATTTTCATAAATGCGCAAGTCTGGAATTTTTCAGATATATTTTTGCATTATTAGCCTCAAAAAGAGATTCCCCAATGAGGAACACAAAGATTGCATAGCTTTATAGCAGGAATTGTGCTTTTGTCATGCAATCTAAATACTAAAATCATGATCGAATTTATGTCTCTCTTTTGAAATCAAATTTACATATTTAGAGAATTACACGGACGAACTACGTTTCCATGTCTATTACTATGTTATCTTGTTTCTTGGTGCTCAACCTGACATTGTATCACTACTGGTCAAAATAGAAATGTGCTTGGGCTAATGTTTGAGGTTTTATATCCGGCTAAATGCATTACATTCAGATATAGGCACAGGTATAGTAAAGAGTAAAGTGTGTCGAGGAAAAAACAAAGTCAGAACAGAAGGGCGGATTGTCCTCTTTACTCTTTTACTTTGTTACTTCTGCCAGTTTTTCCTCTGCACCTTAATTCTCATTTCTGTGTTAGTAGTGTGTCTTTCTTTTTAAAACTCAAACTGGGAGATAAATAGGATGAAATTTTGTAGATGAATTTGGGGTTGGTTGGAAAAACTGTTTACCAGCACAGTTTAGATTTACGGATTAGGGAGGAGGGGAAGGGGAGCAATGAAGAATACATCATGTGTCTTGGTAGTCTCGTAAGGCGTGTTGTAAAAGAAAGCGGTTATCTGCTTCACCCTTTTAGTCTTGCTCTCCTGGCAAGGAAAGACTGTGTGTCCCGCTGAACTCCCGGGCCAAAACTACATATTTCTTTCCCACCAACAAAAGTTGTCTCACACACTAGTCCTACAGTAACATTGGCATTTTGTATTTTGAAAAAGAACAGCCAGTCTAGCCTTCTACCTCAATTTTGCAGACTTATTTGAATAGCTATTTGTATGGGAACCCTATTGTCTGACAGCCTGTATTATATCCCACCTCAGTATTCCAGGGATCTGGCATGTCGCTATCGAGAAAAGTCCTTGATTTTCCGGAGTCCAGTTTGGCAAGGTTGTCTCTCTCTTGTTCCAGTGCTTATTTTTTCTTCTTTTCCAACTTGTCTGCTACTTTAAATGTGGCTCACCCACACCCCACACCTTCTCTTCCACTCTCTTGTTTAAGTTTTTGGTGTTGTTTTTTTAAATCAATTATACAGTTTGTGTACAATTTATATTCGGAGCTTTTTTTTCCATTGCAATATTTCACTTTATATTATATTATACATACATTTTATATCATATGTTTGACATGGCCTTTGATTGAATTACTAATAATAACGCTCCACACTTATTTGTATTAAGTTGTAGCACACTCAGTTTATTTATTGTGAATAATTGTACAAGAAAAAAATGTAATGGAGTAGGGGTAGAAATATGATGCAGCATGTACCCATTATCTGTAGTGTTGGCTGAGTTTCTGTACGCAACAATATTGGTACAATCATTACAAATGTCAAATACTTCCACACTGCACCACTGAAAACAGAAAAGGAAAATGAGTTTATATTTTTGAAAATAACTCTTTCATGACATATTTTTATTATTTGTGCATTGGTAATTTACATTGATAATAAATAGCCCCCTCTCAGTACTGTCTCCTGCCATCTGCCACACCTAATGAGCAGGTGGTTAGAGGGTGCCATTGGTTGGTAAGTTCTTCATCTTTTCTTTCTCTCTGTTATTTCTGTCTGTCTGTCTTGCTTTTTTCCAGCATTAAATGACCATTATTGTGTCCATGTGCTTCTCTTTACTAGAACCAAAAAAAACACATGATGAAGTTCACATCTACGCAAAACTTCAAGTTTTAAAAAAATGAATTTTAAAGCCCTACTAGTACTAGCCAAAGGTGGATCATTTTGAAGGCAAGTTCTCACACGAAGGTCTCTCTCTCTCTCTCTCTCTCTCTCTCTCTCTCTCTCTCTCTCTCTCTCTCTCTCTCTCTCTCTCTCTCTCTCTCTTTTAAAGATTTTTATAACATTGTATTTTTGGTACCTCGATACAGATTAAAACAAGAGAGGGCTCTGCAGAGGACATCCTGAGAGTGAGAATGGGGCAAAGACTCTACTGCTACAACAAAGGTTGCGATTTAGGCCTATGAGGGGCGCCCTAGTAGTTGTAGGACAGGGACAGTTTTACTGTTTGTAGCCCCAGCTATCTCCTTCCACCTCCCCTCCTTCCTCCTCTCCTTCCTCTCCCACTCCCCTTTTCCCCCTTCCCCCCTCCCCTCCTTCCTCTCCCTCTCCCCTTCTTCCCCTTCCCCCCTCCCATCCTTCCCCTCCACCTCACCCTCTTTCTCTTCTCCCTGGGTTACTGCAGCTCTTTTTGCTCTACACTCATGTGTGTGTATTGTAAGTTTTGTATGACTAACAAAGATAACAGAACTACTTTTGTCTCAAGTGTTTGTGTTTTTTTGTTTTGTTTTTTTTTGTAAAGTGTATTACGGCCCTCGCAACTGCATAAGGTCTTATGAGCGCGCGGGACACACCTTATATTTTCAGTTGGTAGGAAATTTTGAATTTTGCCCGGGTGGCGGCCGAAGCCTACTCTTATCGATTTTAGACCACCAAGGGATCTTTAACGTGCGCAACTTGCACACGGGCCCTCCGAGATTTTTGGCCCTTGTCCGAGAAGGCTAGGTGTGGATCTTTCCTACCAGAAGATCAGGGGGGTGGCTGAAAGACAGCAGTAAGAAGAAGCCAAGGAGTAGCAGTAGAAAGGCTGCAGAAAGAATCAGGAGCCAAGAGGAAGGGGCAAAGGAGGTGAGGGGGTGGGGGCAGAAAGAGGAGACGAAAGCAGACGACAGAACATTGCTAGAGAGCAGGAAATGAGGTGAAAGGAGACAAATTTAGAGAAGAAAATTTTTCGGTCGCTACCCGGATTCGAACCCGCGACCTTTTGAATGAGAGGCCAATACCTTAACCTCTAGGCCACGAGAGCCCCCATAAGTGTTGGTATGAAATGCATTATCATATAAGGCCTTTTGAAGGGACACATGTTTCTAAACACTCACATGGAGCTACAGACATGTCTTGTCCTATGTGGGAAGATTATCATTTTCTGTGTATTTTTTACATCTGAATAATTTCCCTTTTTTTTTTCTTTTTTTTTTTTGTAGCTAAGCTTTCCTATCAACCCTTTGCATCTTTTGTTCTAAGATTATTTTTTAAATTTTGTCTACAACAGATATTTATTTTTTAAAGTGAATTTTAGCTACAGAGGTATTATATTATTGTATTTTTGATATTCATAACATGGAGACCTGCTATATTATATCACATCAATAATCAATAATTTTGTTCTTACAAGTCATGAGTGTATGATATTTGTACTAAGAGAAAATTCCGTTGCAGACAATGCCTGTCTAGAGGTTATAACTGAAGTAGATTGTGAATTTCAATCTCCTCCTCCTCCTCCTCCTCCTCCTCCTTTAAATGGATACCCCAGTCTATAGTGCGAAAGCTGCTATTCACCGCAGGTCCAGGTTTCAGCAGTGTCTGGGGACTCCTTGCCTCTAGCGTTGCGTAAGTACTTGCTCCTAAATGCTTCATGCATAGGGTAGGCAGTATTTTTCAAGTAATGTATTATAGTCTTCATGGAAAACGAAGAGACACGTATGCTTATCGGAGTTATGGGGTGTGTGTACATGCAGGTGTGTTCTAGCGCAAATCTGTCTCAATGCTGTTCTGGATTGCTGTGATTGTATGGTATTGGTATTGTGTTGCTCTAATGCTCATGTAAACACTGTAAAGCTTATTGGAAAAGGAGGGCCGCCAAATTTAAAGTCCATCTCCAATTTCATTCATATGGCTAGTCAAGTGGGTAGGACAGGAAGTCTTGACAACTCCTCCAGCAACCTGAGGAACACCCCAGTGGGGGATTCAAACCAGGGTCATCCGCACTCTAGTCCAGCTTGATACAAACTACAGATATGTCCTCTGTGGGTGGTTGGTGGATGCTCTGGTGTGGCTTGCTGCTTCTTTCCTATCAAACATCTATCATCCTTATCTCCCCTCCTTCTATTTTGTGTTTGTTACTCTCTTGTACCGCTCAAAAGGGTATAAGCAGTGGATAAAAGTTAAAAGTTACTCTCTTGTTACACCTCTAGTCTTCGGCACTCATATGACCTTATTTTACGAACGCCGTAAAACCCTGCTAAAACAAGATATGTCCTCTGTGATTGCGACATGATTGATTGTGAACTTACCTGAAGAAGTAGAGAGAGGTTTGTGGGTGGTTGACGGGTGCTTTAATGTGGTTTGCTACTTCTTTCCTATCAAAGAATCTATTGTCCTTACTCTCCTTTTTTCTGTTTGTTACTCTCTTGTAGCCCCTCTAATCTTCAGCTTTTAGCTTATCTAATTGGGTTGCAAATGCCGGAAAAAAAAACAAAAAAACATCAAATAATGAGGTTTGAACTGGCATAGGGTAGTGGTGGTATCTGCTCAGTCTCAGTCAGCTCTGTGTTTTGACCAGGTTTGGGGTGGGTGCGTATTTTTGTGTCTTATTTGGTGTTTTACTCACAGAAGAGGCATAGACGTAGTGAAATCTGCCTTCAAAAGTGAAATACAGATACACACATACTCGCACGCACGCACAGACAGACACTTTCACACACACACACTCATACGCACACACACATTCACACACACACACACGCACAGACAGAATTGCACAGAAGAATACTCAAACACATGTATGCATGCACACGCACAGGCATACACAGACACAATAATGCGCAGAACTCTGAACCCCCTAGCATGTGCCTCATCCTTTCACTGACACTGACAGCCTCTGACTTCAGATGTGTTATTGTAGAAGTTTTACGCCCCCTTTGGTACAATTTAGATGGCAGGCTGCTTCAGCCTTGGCTTAGGTGAGTGGGAGGAATACACTGTCCTAGATCTAGTGGAAAGATGGAGATACTCAATAAGAATTCACCCGCGAGAGAATCCAGCTCACATCTTTTGTGGTTTCATTGTCAGACCTACAAAAGAGCTTAATAAAAGACTATCGTGGACTATATTTATATGTGTATATGTATATGAAGGGCACAAGGGAAAAACATGGGATGTCACTTTTAGGCGTTTTGAGAGAACACAAATGAAATGCTTGACAGACTTAAACCTGCGTATTTGTATTCCCATGGCATAGCTTATTTTCTAAGCCTTATATCGGATGACTCATCAGGTTTGAGCCATGGACACTTACATGGGCCAGAAGAGGTGCATAAACATTTTCGAACCCATGTCACAGCTCAAATTAGCCCAAAAATTAACATGATCTCTTGGGTTTTTTTCCTTGTACCCTTCATATTTATATATACATTATTTGCAAATATCTGTACTTTTCACCAAAGCTCCCTCTATTTGTCTAGAGACTGAGTCATGCTGCACTGTACGCTAAGAACTACTTGTTCTTTGTACAATGTACTGGTGTTTTGAAGTGCTCAAATGTGGTCTTCTCTTTCTCCAATCTTCTCAGAGTAGCTTTTGTTTGAATTGTTTCATGGTCATATGTATCTGATGATGTTGTGCCTGTTGACTCTGTGACTTCTACTCCATTGTCTGTTCGTTCGTCTGTTGGACTTTATATTCCAGTCTGTCTTTTTATTTTTTGGGGTTATCTTTCGCACACATGCGCGCGTGCATGCGCACGTGCGCACGCACACACACACACACACACACACACACACACACACACACGCGCGCGCGCGCGCACAAACTCACCTACAACACCCACACGCACACTCACCTTTTGACTTTGATTGCAGATTATTCATTGTTGGTTTGGTGGTTTGGTAGGGTTTTTTTCCATGTTTGTCTGATTACTGGATTCTTCATCGTTGTTTTATAATCTTTTTGTTTTGGAGTCTTAATAACATCTTTTTCTGTCAATGTTGATTTTTATGTTTATTGTTACACTTTGGAATAACCATGAAATGCCCTATCATTTGGTACAAAAATAAAAGAAGTCCTACACATTATTTTGTTATTTTTTTTTTTTAATTCTTGTTCAGAAGGTGCCTGAGTGGGTGGTTGGTCAATGCTTTAGTGTGGTTTGCTCCTTCTTTCCTATAAAAATCTATCTTCTCTATCTCCCCTCCTTTTTTTGTGTGTTTGTTACTCTCTTGTAGCACTTCTAATCTTCGGCACTGATATGACCATATTGTGTTGCAAGTGGTGTAAAACTTACTAAAACTAAAAGAAGGTGCCTGAAGTAGGTACGTTAAGAGTGTAGACTTGTCGGCTACATGAATAAATAATAATAATAATTATAATTATAATAATAGTAATAATGATATAATTCGTCTGTCAATGTCTGATGATGACCAATACACCCACTGAAGAGAATATTTCTCCAGCGAAAAAGAAGAATTGGAAGAATTAAAGGTTTAAGATGACTTTTGGCTTCTGCTGTGGCTGGTGAGACAAATTCTGGCAGAAAAAGGTTTGCCACATTTTGAACCTGCATTATACAATTTTAATAATAGGGCTTTTTGAGGGATTGGGGGGGGGGGGTAACTTTTTGTGAGATGAATACTTGAGTTTGTTGAGCGGGTTCGGAAAGCAGGGGCCTACTCAGTCTGAAAAGTAAACGTCCTCCGACTAGGCGTGCTGTATAATATAAACACACACCAGGGCCTCCAGC